GGGTGGGCAGAGTGTCATAATCAGGTAAAATTGTATTGATTGGATTGATGCCTGCCTCCTTCTCAATAGGAGAGAAATCTAAGCTCTCCTCAAGCGCAGATTTTCTGCTATGAGGAACCAGCATGAGCCCAGAGCCCTGTCGGTGATGCAGCTCTCAGATAAAGAACTCATTTCACGGATACCAACCTTCCTTGGTGTCCTGCTCTTCTGTCTCTATCTTGTCCCTCTCTCCCGTAGTTGGGCGTTGCGTTTGATTGGCGGCCGTGCTTCGACGGTGCAACCAGTCCTCGGGCGTAGTCACCCTCGAACCCTCCGTCTCCAGACTGGACAGCAAGTGATGGGTTTCGTCCTCCAGGGGCTGCGTGGGACCCCAGTCCACTGCCCACAGCTGAGTGGTGCTGGCCTGCGCCGTGACTGGCATCTGCATTTCGCCCAACTCCTCCCACTTCCTGTCATCTGTGTCACCGGTGGCAGTGCAAAAAATTACAGTGACCAGCAGGAAGCTCCAAAGGGGAATGAATCCAATGTGGGGAGAGATGGAGCTGGGGGGAAGGAGAGACAAAGCAACGAAAAGACGGAAGGAGGGATTGAAAAGGAAAAGCTAGAGATCGGAAAAAAACACATAACTGAGAGGCGTGAATCGAGCATAGATGGAAAGAGACTTAAAGCAGAAGCTGATGCAACCCAACGGGCTGCAGGAAACTAACTGGTCAGATCTGAGCACAGTGCAACCAAAACAGTCTGTTTGGCGCCCTCGCTTTGCCTTACCATCGCTCCATCGCTTCAGCCTGTTCACTGACTCCTCACCGCTCCGATCATGTCTTAAATGAGAATGACATAAAGAGAAGGATGAGAAGAGAAACAGAGCTGGAAGGGGGAGGGTTCAGTCTTGACACTGACTAAAAGACCATAAACAGATGGCTGTAGTGGAGAAATACCCTGCTGGCTCTGAGACAACACAAATAAAAACACACACATACTGTAAAGCATACACACTCATCCGGATCAAAACGGATCACATTCATCAAGAACCAAACCACAAGATCCACAGAAAAACACACATGCGAACACACCTGTGGATGCGTTCCCCGTGTCAAGCCTCTTCCCGAGCCGTCAAACAAAACTCAACATCTGTATCCAGATTTACGGCACACTCTGACTTCCAGGCAACACTCACAAATACACCTACACACACTTGGAAACATGCAGATTCAAACTCTCAAGACAGATATCGGCTCACATGCCTACCTCATGCCACTGAAGAAGGGAGTGGGAGAGAGACAGAGCGCCTGGAAGTGGGGAAAAGCATTGGTTGCCGTAGCGACAGAGACATGTAGAAATTGCGCGAGTGAGAAATAGAGTGCGGAAGAGGAAGGGAGAGAGAGAGAAAGAGAGAGAGAGAGCCAGAGGAGGGAGGGAAGGAGGATTGGAGGAAAGATTGAAATACTAATTATGCATCTTAACTGGTTCAATTAAATAGGCAGCGAGAAGAAAATAAATGAATTTTGAAGGCGAAAATAGCCAGATGGAATAAAAGAAGCAGCTTATTAATATTCTGAAGACCAGTTTAAGTAAATAAAAAGTATTCAAGAAGGACAAATTCAATGATGAACTGTCTTTAACTGAAAAATTTGTGTTTACTATTGTCATTTTGCATTATTGACACTATTTTCCTAATTAATGCTGTTCAGTTGCTTTGACACAATCTGT